GAATGAGCTCTGGTGTCTGTCTTTATAGAGACAGTGGATCAGGAAATATTCTTGATGGGCTTGTGCAGTGTAGTTGACATTGGCTTCACCTCCCCCTCCCCCTGCCAGCCCTATGTTCCCACAGTGCCTTAGGCACATCGTTTGGAGGATTTACCAGGCTCTAGTGTCATTGGGTGGCAAGTCCTTCATAGACTCTGAGCCCTATGATGGGCAAGACCAGCTAATCCTCATGGTGATCGGTGAATGACAGTTGAAACAATGAATGCCTTAACTAAAGTCTTAGATCCCAGTTTCTCTAGAGATATTCTTCAAGCCTCATTTTTAGTTTTTCAGTTGGGAGAATCTTTTCTCCTCAATAGGCCAGTAGATTCTAAAGTTCCTATTAGGAAAGGTGGAGGAAAGCCAGTTGGTGGACATTGGAAGAGACAGGGGAACATTGGAAGTTGTACCTGTAGTCCTATTCAAAAAGTCTGCTCACCCTTTGCCATGTGCCTGCACATGGTACAAGTGGAAGGTCAAGCTAGAAGATGTGTGTTGGCTCATACCTTGTCAGTCTCTATGCTTTCACTAGCTTGTGGCCTGACACAGCAAGCATGGAAGCATATATCCCTGACTTTGCCTGTACAGTCAACCAGCCACCATTCCACAGCTTTTCCCTTTCCTATACCCTCCTGGGACAGTCACTATAGGCACTCTCATATTCAACCCAGTATATGTCTCCGGATATATGGAGTGATCCTCATTAAACCTACTCACTCCCTTTCTTTCCCAAATTTTATTTTTATCTCGCTACCAAGTCAGTTAGTTGGAATATGGGTCTGGAGAAGGAGGCTGAAGGGAGACAAGAGATATAAATGCAAGATTGAGGACAACTGGCCAACTGCGATTATGCAGGGCTAATGCAACACTATGTTGAGGCCCATGTGGTAAGGTCCAAGGTTCATATTGTGAATGCTCTCTGTACATGCCAGGCATGCATGCATGTGCCTGTAATTCTGGTTGGCTGAGGCTGGGGGTGTGATGACTCTGTTGGGGGTGGCCCCTTCTATGTTTTTCTCTCTTTTTGTCTCTGTCTTATGGAAGATATAAATAAACAAACTTAAAGAAAAGGGTGGGATGGCTTACAACATTGAGTACCCACAATATGCTTAACATTGTGGTCTGGGCTTATGCACATTACTTGTAGCCATCTTAATAACCCTCTGAAGAAAGTAAGATTCTTCAATTTTACAAATGTAGAGACTGAGATTCAAGATGATTAAGAAATGTCTAAGATTGGATAGCTAGTAAGAAACAGGGCTTCCACTAGCTCCATTTACTCTAGAGTCAGTACATCTTTGCAATGTAGTGCCATTATTTCCCTAAATGCTTTCCTTATAGCTTCTCTATATTAAATATAATTTATCTTGTTACTAAGAAGATCAAGTAGGACCAGCCAGTGAAATGGTGGTTAAGGCAGCTCGATCCTACATGGCCAACTGAGCTGTCTGAGTCCTGCCACAGTGGCTTGAAGAACACTCCAGGTGGATGTGCTTGAATGCCTACAATCCCAAGAGGATAAGAGAGGAGAAGGGGTTGTGGCATGACCATTCCCCCCGGGAGGTGATTTTTCACTTTCTCTTCCTCTCTATAGCAAGCTTATACCCCCTATACCAATCAATCAATCAATCTATTAATCAATCCAGTAACAACAACACTTAAGTGCCTCGCCCAGGGTCTGATACAAAGAAGGAACTCAGTTGACATTAGTTGATGTTGCTGTTATTTTCACATTTGATAGCTTGGCAGGGAGGCGGAGGGTCTGTATGATATCTGGAATGTGAAAGGAGAAAACAACGTTGGTTAACTGGAGACAGTTCAACTTTGTAGACCTAGATAAATGTTACTGGTCATCAAATTATTCTAGACTTTACTTGGTGACAGATGAGTAGCTGCTCTGTTTAGCGGTTGTGTTTGCCTCAACCTCGGTCATGGGATGGTGAATGTGCCTGTTCCAGCCTCTGAATTGTTTATAAGTGATATTTTTATTGCTATCACCTCGAGGTGTCTATACAGGGTTCTCAGAGTGCACGCCATAGGTTAGCATTCCAGAATTCAGCTCTCAAAGCTTCCTTTCCATTGTAGAGGAGTGCGAGCTTTGCGTGCCTCTGTCCGCGGTGCTGAACTCAGACAGTGCTCACGGGAAGTAGAAGCAGATTGTTCCTCATAGCCCCTCTCATTTCCACAGCCCGCTGAGCTGAGACCAGACTACTCTGAGGAGAAGGCAGGGCTGAGAGTTAGGAAATCTGGTTATAGTTTCATTCACTTGCTGTGTGGCCCCAGGCAAACTACCTATCCTCTCTGTGTCAGTGTTCCTGTTGGTAGAATTAAGGTGCTACCTTCTGTCATTCCTGTGTCAGAGTATTGCTGATTTCTGTGTGAGCAAATGAGATGACAGATGCTAAAGTGGGATATGAAGGCACAGTATGATCATGTTACTATTACTGCCTCTCAGTCTTTTAATCATACATTTTGACTCTATCTTTTTAATTCACTGAGGCACCCTAAGGCCTAATAACATAGAATGCAGTGGAACGGGAAAAAAAAAGGCAAATATAAGCACTGGAGGAAAAAAGATACAACTTTCCTATGCTTTGCTTCCAAATGTCTGTATGTCATGTAGCTTAGAATGTATCTCTCAGAAGACAGATAATGACCAGCGACGGTTCAGCCCCTGTCCAAAAAGAAAGTTAAAAAGAAAAATCAGTAAGATCACATCTAATTACATATCCAGTCCCCAAAGGAGAACATCCCTTTACTATCACAGGCCTGAAATCTCACCATTAGCCTAATGTTTCACAAAACCTATTTATTTATTTTTTTCATAAAAGAAAGAGATGGAGAGATAGATATAGAGGAACAGAGTTTATATATTGAGAGAGAAAGAGAGAGAGAGAGAGAGACTCTCAACAGGGTTATCATGTTGCACCTAGTTTCAGCCAACCTGGATCATGTGTATGCCCAGACACCATCCCAGAACCATCCCACATGGTTCCGGTTGTATTACTACTACAGCCCTGCCTGGCCACAAGCCTAATTTTTTAACTCGGTATTTCTTGTCCTTCACAGAGTGTTTGCAGTGTTTTTTTGTTTTGAATTAATTATGCTTGCTATGGCTTGAGACTTGGAGATAGAATTGGGTTTAGATTTTTCTTTCCTCAGTTATGGGATATTTATAAGTTGAATCATCTAGTTTCTCATAGCCTCAGTTGATCCATCTGTAAAATAGGCTCAATAGTATTAATACCTTCTGTATGATAGAAAATATAAAAATTTTAAAAGAGGCTTTATAAATTTTCTTTTTTTAGGGAGTTTTTTCTATTACAGCACATGCACTCACTGGGGTGGGTGGGCTGAGGAAGAGAGAGAGAGAGAGAGAGAGAGAGAGAGAGAGAGAGAGAGAGAAAGAGAAAGAAAGAAATCACCTCCCAGGGAGGATGACTACACCACAGTTCCTTCTCCTTTATTCTCCTGTCGGGATTTTGGGCACACACGCACATGCACCTGGCAAGAGTTTGAAGCTGCGAGGTTCAGGCCTTGAACTACTGTTAGCCATATGGGAGTTCAAAAATGTGACCATTATGCCATCTCATGGTCTCATAGACTTTATAGACTTTTATAAGTATCAGTTGTCATGTTTATTGTCTGATGGGTTTTGATCAAAGTATTTCATGAGCAGGTCGTGGCATTTCTTGGTTCTGCTGTAGTTTGTTCTCTTGCTTTTATTAGGGGCATCTGTTCTTCTATCTCTTATTGAAACCTTACTCATCCTTTTAAGCACAGATCAAACATCACCTTCTCTGATGACGCAAACCATAAATAATTTCTTCCCCTCTAGAATTCCTATTTTATTTTGAAATTGTCTTTATTATTCATTTTGTTTGCCTCTTATACTGTGGTAGTGTAGTTATTTTAATGCTTTTTTACTTTCTCAACTGGATTATGAGATCCTTGGAGGTCCTATCTAGTACACAGTAGATGTGCGATCCCTCTTTGGATGGACTTATAGGATGGATGTTGTTCAATGTCCATTTCCTTATGTCTTCTTTGACATGCAGTATTGCTAGAGAAGGTATCCTGGTAGGTCAAAGGTACTTAATGTGAATGAAAAGCATTAGGCTTCAGTGGCCAAATGGGGGTGAAAATTAAAACCTGGAGAGAATAAATTGTATAAGAAAGTGTGAGCAGCTAAAGGAACATTTTATTATCTAGCAGTTTTTCTCAGCCTGGTCTCAGTTGTGAAGATGCTCTAGAGCTTGAATGAACTCGGAAAGAGACCTTAGGGCTCCAAACTTGGTTAGAATTCAGACACAGGAAATTGTGCAATGTGCAGGCATGCCAGAAGGTGGCGCACAGTCACTAATTCCAGGGTCTGGCAGCTTCGCTCCTGCAGATCCCCCAAATTGGTGCAGGTATTCTGATGGGTGGCTCTCCTTTGCATTTTAGGGTTCAGAGTGGTGTCCTTTTCATTTCTTTCCCTGTGCCTGTTCCACTCTGCTGCTCTTGACCCCAGTCTGTGGACTGAAGAGTGCTTCCCATGGACGATCTTCTTTGGGAAAGCTCAAACTGAGATGGGACAGAGGTGTTTTGGCTGCCTCTTAATTCCTGCATAGATCCAGAACCAAACCCATATCATACCCGCTATACTGGAATCTCCAGGATGGATCCTTAGAGAGTGAGCCGACAGTGCCTTTTTGGACAAAAAAGGTATAGGGAAAAAAAAAATCACTTTTTTTTTTTCATACACTGTTTTATTCCCTATCCCCTCTGTATCCCTCATTATTCCTGATTTCTTATCTGAATTGTAGGAACAAGACTTTCTTCAATGTCTCTTCCTCAGCTAACTCCTATATGGTGGTTTTTTTTTTTTTAAATTTAACTTTGTTTTCCTGTATATTCATCATAGATATCATCTATGCATGTAGGGGAGAGAGAGGGAGAGGGAGAGGGGGAGAGAGAGAGAGAACACACAAGCGAGCAATTCTCAAAAGGGTCTCATCACACCTCAGCCCCTTTTCCCTAGCCTTCCATCTCCTCAGGATTTGGGGCACCCATGTGTAAGCCTGGTGTATTTTTGGGTCAACCTGGGAATATGAACCCGTGATCGGCAGTGTAACTTCCAGTCGCTTAGATTGGACCTTATTCTCTTTATGGTATTATCACATTCATTACCTTATATTTTCATAAAATATCTTTAAGGTATGTGGCACAGTTTCCATCACAATAGTAGCTTTTCTTTTTATAGTTCTTTCTAGTTACCAAAGCTGTTTTGCCTATACATTTAAATGGACCCCTATAAAAGCTGTAAAGTTTTGGGTCTCCTACAAACAAACAAACAAACAAAACACCTCATGCACAGGGAGAGTAAGTGATTTTCTCAGAAAATGTAAGAATACAAGCACTCATTCATCTGGTTCCTCAAGCACTCATTCATCTGGTTCCTAAAGTACGTGCTTCTTAGTGTACTTCCTAACATATGGGCTTCTCATCATGAGGCAAATATTTCTGAAGAGGAAGATAAAACTTACCTGTAGCCAGTGATGGTATAAATAGGGCTGAAATTAACAGCACCTCTTCTCAGTCTAGCTCTTTTGCTTCCACTAAGAAGTTGTTATTTTTGTAATCTAACAAACCATTGGCTCTTTGCTCAGCCAGCTCTTACTCTTCAGCCTCTTCAGACTCTTGAGTGTGCATCAATCAGCATTTGACAAATGATCCCAGAGGTGAATGCCCAGAAAGGTGAATTCTGGAAAGCTCATCAGGAATCTTTGTTTTTTAAGCTTAAAAAGGATTAAAGAGAAGACTATAAAGATCCATCAAAGCACTAACAGTGACTGTGTTTAGATAATGGATTATTGTCACTTTTTTTTTTTTTCACTTTTCTATGTCTTATAGTCTCAAACTTTTCTCATGGAAAGTAACATTACAAAACAGAAAAGAAAGTATTGTGACATGGATGTTGGGATGTGTCTGAGTGTCTGTGTATGTGTTAGTGGCTGTTGATACATTGTATTAGATTGCACTGAGGCTGAGTAGGGCAAGAACTAGGGTATCATGTTCTCCCTGGCAGGGCATTCCATTGCTTGCTGGTTCTCATTCTCTCCTAAAGTCCTAGCTGATAGCTTTGGCAGGTTTCACTCATACCTTGTGCTGTCCCTGGAGCTCCAGTTGACTCCATAATGCCATAAGCACACACCAGCCTGGCAGGCTGGACAGGTGGTAAGGGGCCCCAGAGGCCTGAATGATCAGAACCTCACCCTCTCAGCAGAGCTGTGGGTTTTTCAGCTCCTCACTCTGCCGGCAGTAGACTTACGTAACACGTTCACAGAACTTCATTTTCCAGTAGATTGAAAGCAAAGCCATTGTTGATTTTCTCCAAAAAGATCTATTTGGAAGTGCAATTGCCTGGAATTACATGGTGGCACGGGAGGCCAGACCCTGCTGTAAATAACTTTCCTCTCAGCCACACAGGAGCTTGGCTGGCAGCAGTGTCTGCACTTGAGAAGACGGAGTTGAATGGGAAACGAATGTGTGTGTGTGTGTGTACGTGCACACACACTCATGAGCACACGCTTGTGTGCAAGGTCTCAGGGCCTTTGCTCACCTAGCTGCCACTTTCTCCACTTTAGGTGCTTTGCATCTGAATGAGGGATGAGGGCGGGAGTGGGGAAGGGCTGGGGTTGTGCTTCTGGGCCCTTAATGTTTGTGTGGCCTCTCTGGCTACTTCTTCCACCTGACACCTGGAGCTATGTAAGGTTGAGTGATTGATGCATGAAGTGGAGGGCACAAAAACAGGCTTTGGAATTGGGCATATTTGAGTTCTAGTCCTTGATGTGCCAATCACAGCTTATGAGAACTTAGAAAATTACTTTCATCTCTGCCCTTTTTTTATACGTAAAACAAACCAATAAAAACCCAAATCAAACAACAACTGGGGGTGAGTGTGGGAGTTGAGAGTACCTAAATTTAAATATTGTTGCAAAGATTAAAAGCATAATGCTGGAGAAACCCTGCACAGTATCTGATACTTGTACATGCTCTAGACATTCAGTTTCATCCTGTGACCTGCCTTTCTTTTCATAACATATTAAGATTAGAAGAAAATGCTATGAGCTTGGAACCAGGATAGTAAAGATCAAAGTTGTGAAATGTGAAAAGTTTAGTTTTACTTATTTCTATACTTCCTTCCCCTATAGATAGCCGTAGTATAAATACTAGACTCCCCAAAGAAAGACTGGAATAAATTAATTCACACCATGGCAGATGGGACTTAATGCTGTTTCCTCCTGGTGGACATCTATATTTTGTGAGTCCTGCTTCAGCAAGTAGGGGACAATGTTTAACCCAGAGATGGAAGAATTTTATGTGGGTAACATCTAGACGAGGAGCTCTTTTTCAATGAGAAAGTGTTACCACTTATTTGCCTCTTCTTGTGATCAGCTTTATCTGGCAGGTACTAGAATGGCATTAGCCCAACTGAGAATTTTTCTCTAGACTCTTGTGGAATTGTTCTTTCTACATTTCCTCATGAAGTCTAGGAAATAGTGGGATCTAACAAACTATGACCCACACCCTCAAGAGAAGACTTCCCGATGAATCTGGTGACGGCATCTAGCCACCTGTCTTTCCAGTATTTATTGACCTCCTACCTCAAAAAATATAGCCAATATTGATAAATATTTTGGCCAAGTTCTTAAGTGCACTATTTCATTTAGTCTTTACTACTTCTGATGATGTTGTTGCTGTTACCTTTATGCCATTATATAGCCCAGTGATTAAAAGCAAAGATTCTAGAAGCAGGTTCCTGGTTTGAATCTCAGCTTAACAATCACTAGTAGTGTAAAGTTAGGTGAGCTAATTCTTTGTATCTTGTCTTAATGCCTTGAAAAAGTTCATGGAAAGTATGCCTTACTAAATAACTATGCATGAGATCCCCATTTTTTTGGTACCAAAATCATCTTCTCTTCCACTTTAATTCAATTTTTCCATGATGTGTTTGATGTCCTCTCAAACTTAAAGTAGGAATGTAATAGTACTACCTCACAAAGCTGTTTGGAGCATTAAGTAATTCAATATATGTAACGTGCTTGGAAGAGTATTTGGCTATTATTATCTCCATTAAACATTGATATCACTGAGGATGGGAGGAGAAAGTGATTTTTCTAATGACACCCAGCTGGTGACATATCCAGGTCAAGTCTCCATGCTTTAGAATTCTCAGGCTAGTGCTTCTCTCCTACTATGAGAGAAATGTGCAGGTTCTTTTATTTCTCTCATATTATCATGTTTCATTACAGCCCTCCAACAAGTAACAGCACTTCAGCATGGCTGAAAATGTTGGTGAGAACAATTGAAGAGTTGAGAGCTTGCTTACTTAAACTGTAGTCTTGAAAGCATGTAAGAAAAAGTTTCCTCACAATTTGAGGTCAATTTAGGTGCCCATCCCAGCTTGGTATCTGCAGATAATTAGCATCTAGTGAGTTTATTAGTGAATGGCCTTGTGGTCAACATCCGAGTTAGAGCTTTATCTGGTATTGCCTGCCACCGAGGCCAGATCAAGCAAGGCTTTGCTGATGTTGGCAACTCCAGGAGTCAATTTGTGTGTGAGTTTAGGTCAAGATCTGAGATTCCATTAGGAAAAAAATATGGTGACTAACCATTGATGGATTTAGGATAAAAAGTGGAGTAAAAGTTACATTATCTAAAGATTGTTTTTCCATCCCTAGGGTGACCTAAAACATGCTCTGTTAGGCAAAGCTCAACAAGGTCCCATGTGTTTCAGATGAAGAGGGTAGGCCGGATGAGGAAGATGATCAGCAAGGTGTTCTTCACTTCTTCTTATTTCTTCTGACTTCTCCTGTCATAATGCCTTCGTTTCTGCCATTAGGGATTTATTATTTCAGGCATTATGAGTAATTTAATTTCCAATATTTCTAAGAGGTCTTAAGTCATGCCTTAGATATCTTTCAAGATACCTTAAATAAAATCATGTAATATCCCATATGGAAGTCTCTTCCTCTGTTCAGATGCAGAGTCACTTAACCACCTTAATGCCAGTTAAGAACTGGAATAGGCTTCTTGTGGGCAGAGAGGATGAAAAATATTTGCTGATATGCCATTTTATAAAGACCTGGTCTACTCTATGTTTTTTTAGCTCAGCAAATAGCTGCTGGAAGAAGTTCAGATTGGAATTAAGTTAGAACAAGGAGCTGTGATTCAGCATAGGAGAGCTTCCCACTCAGCCAAGATAATTAAGAGCTTGTCTTCTCTTCTTTTCTTCTACAAGTGTAAGAAAGAACACCCTACCTATTATGGGTTGAATTGTGTCTTCCCAGAAGATATTGGAATACTAACCTCTAATACCAGTTAATATGACCTTATTTGGAAATAGGATCTCTGCAGATGATGAAATTAAGATAAGGTCATTAGGGTGAGTCCTACTCCAATACTAGTGTTTTCTTATGAAAAGGGGACATTCAGACTTATAGACAGGGAAAATGCCATGTGAACTTGCAGGCAGAGATCAGAGTGATGTGTCTATAAGTTGAAGAATGCCAGATTGCCAGAAAATCATGAAAAGGTGAAAGAAAAGTATGAAAATGATTCTCTTTATGGCCCTCAGGAGGAATCAACCCTGGCAGCACCTCGATCCCAGACTTCTAGTTTCTAGAACTTCAAACAATGAATTTAATTTCTGTTGCTTAAGTCACCCAGTCTGAGGCTCTTTGTTACAGCAGTCTTAACAAACTAATACACCACTGAAACAAGCTAATGAAGAGTTCTTTCTTTCTTTCCTTCTTTCATTGTTTTCAGTAAATATTATGTAGGGACAGTGGAAGAGCTTTTACATTTCTCCTTTCTTGTTTGAAAGTAATGTCTCTGCCAATGATCAAGTTAAGACAAAGTGGTTAGGTTGGATCCTAATTCAATGAGTGTGACCTTATGAAAAGAGGATATTTGAATACAGAGATAGGCACATAAAGGGAGAAGGCCAGGCACATGAAGATACTGGGAACAATATTTTAGATAAGATCTTTACTTTAAAGGAGTTCATAGATGAGATGTGGATACAGGTAAGTGAACAGGCCATTACTGGTAATATAATAAGGATCTAACACCTATTCTTGCCTTTGGGCCATTGGCTCTCAACCTTGACCATACTCTGAAATCCCTTAGGAACCTAAAAAATATCTCTTTCTCCAGTTCCTAATCCCAAATATTCTATCTAATTGGCCTGTAGTGGGAACAAGGCATCACTCTTATAAAATCTTTCCAAGAAGTTCTGAAAGACTGCTATTGTTGAAAAACAGTTTTTAGAAATATAGTCAAGATTCTGATAAGCTGGAAAACTGGAGAAAGGGGATTGTGGCATGATGAGACCTCTCATGCTGTCTCTCTCTCTCTCTCACACACACACACACTATCATTAATGTAATAAAATAAACCTCAAAAAAGCTATATGGTCCAGGTAAGGAGGCTAGTATTTCATTTAAAAAATAATGTGTGTGTGTGTGTGTGTACATGCATGTGTGTGTGCATATAGATATACCCACTACTGAGGTCCCACTCTAGACCAATTAAATTGGCATGGTAATGATATTTTTAAAAAGCTTCCCAGGT